TCCCGTATAGGAATGAGAAATCCGCCGCGAAATAACAAGGAAAATCGTTGATCACGCTCGTAGCATGTTTGGAACATGGCTGAATTTGGAAACCAACCGACAACTAGCGCGTCAAGAAAACAAAGGACCTTATCGGAAAGCTCGTCAGAGATTTCTTCGGGAGTCGATTTACAGGAAAAGTTACGGAAGGAAAAGTCGTTTCGCAAAGAGACAGACGAAGTTTACCAACGGCTTCAAGACGATTACGACGAGCTGCTCAAGAAGTATGCTCAGGCCGAAAATACTATAGATCAACTGCGAATAGGAGCCAAACTTAACTTGTACAGTGACTTACCACCACCACAACAGAGCTCATCTGTAAACGCAACAGTTCATAAAGAGCCTGGTGTATTTAGATTTCCAAGAAGTAGCCAGGCTGTTTTGAGCGAGGGTGGTTTTCCTAGCGGAGAGGTTCCTCGAGGTGCTGACGCCGCTCCACAAAATGGCAACCAACGAAGTACAACTACTAGTTCTTACGCCGGGTTAAATCCATCGAGTCCAGACGGGAGAGGAGCAAGATTAAGGGCAGCTTTGTCTTCGAAAGTGCAATACTTTCAGGAGGACGTAGATGCACTGCAAGACCACGTTATGGAGGGGCAATGGGGAGAACCCGAACTACAAGAGTTGAGAGATATGTGCGAGCAGTTGAAAGCTCAAAACGGGAATTTAAAACAAGAATTAGCACAGATTAGGCGACTGGAAACTGGACGAGATCCTGAGTCGTTTGAAAATGAAAGGTAAGTCAGATCGTAGGCAATCTACAGAAAATTTGAACGTTTTTCTTTCGTTCAAGGTCAAAAGATGTTGATGACGATATTATATCCGGAAATTGTGTTTGTGTATTTTTCGTCAACACAAAGATATTTTACGTAAACAAATCCCTTGAGAAACACGGTCATTTTCTAAGTAGTAAGTTTAAGGTCTTATATTGAGATCTAAATCGCGATCTTTCTGACATTGAACGAACTAATTTTTTTTACTGTTTATACAGGTGTAAACAAAAGACGTGTTAATTATTCTAATAATTGCTGCCAGACTTTGGTAAAATAAAAATTTATGCTTTCATGTAAAGAGTCTACAGTTGCAGTTTGGGTTTTGTCCAGAGTTAAACTGCTTAATGATTAATCACAATAAAACCTGAATTTTTCGGGCGATCAGTCCTTTCTTAAAACCAAGGAAAATTGTTAAACAGCTGGTAAAATTTTTAACGATTTACAAAAGCAAGGGAACTGAAACCCATTTAAAAAAAATAATTCTAACACCTTTGGTATGCCTTATGAAAACAAGAAAAGCATTGTTGTTTGGTTAAGCTGTAGACCAACAATAAACTTTTCTAATTCCTTACTACAGAGTTAGTTAGGTGCTATTATTTTGTGTCCTTGTGGTATTCTTTATTAAAATATAAACCTGCTCCTAGAAAATTGCTTCGAAACCGTTGTAAATATTTTATTATCAGTTTTCTTAGGGAGTTTTTTTTTCATGAGTAGTTTTCACCACGGATTTTCTCAGGAGGTTCTTAACAATGCAATGTAAATTGAAAATTCCATGTACTAAAGTTGCAATTATTATTTTACTAAATTCTTCAGTTACATTCTAAAAGGAACGTTAACATGTAAGTGAAATAGGTAACGCCCTTGACCTTCATCTTAATTGTGACACCAGGCAGTGTAGTTTCACTTATGTACCAATTTTTTTGCTGCGTTTCTCTTACTATCTATTCCCTGTTTGTCCTTTGAAATGCTATTCATACTATTTTAATTTGGACAGTCAAACAAGAATGATGATTAGTCTGCAAGCAGGTGTTTTGAAATGGCTTTTTTATTTTGGTCCCAGAAAAGAAGTGAAAATAGTGTTTTTGTCATAAATTAATTGCCTTCCTGTGCTTGAAGTTTTTTATACTATACATGTTTTTCCTGCCTGTCTTTTGTAACAATTTAAAACATGATTAAATAGGACTTGAATGCAAAGCATGGTCTCCATGTTGTTGTTAATATGTGCAAATCAGTCGCAAACATTGCCAACCTAATTTCTTTCAGTTTTACAACATCCAGATGCAGGGTTAACACAAAGTGTCGATGTAGGTGGCTCGATAACAATTGCCAATGGTTTCATTAATGTTTTCAGCAGGAGGGTAATTGGTCTTCACAGGCAGGCAAAACTTTTTGAAATGAAATTCTTCATAAGAAAAACTTTCCTCTAGATGGTCAAACCAGGTGGGCAATTAAATCGTCCTCATGTGCCCAGCGCTGTATGAAGCTACTGCAATTGCTAGTCTAGGTGGCTTATTTTACCATTTTTTAGCTGCCTGAGGTCACAAAGTAGACAGTGACTGACTGTCTCACATTCAAACTTATGCAAAGTTCATTGTCCCACAATCTGAATGAGGTGGTTTGCTTCTTACCTTTTTCCAGGTTTGAATATTAGGGTGATTTTTTTAAAAGAGGGCCTCCCAGGGGTTTTGGGCAACAAGAGAACATGATCGTTTTATTTCAAGGGAACAAAGTGTATTTTTGGGATGAATTTGAGAGAACAAGGGGTATCTCTACTACTAAAGGGAAGCTTGGCAATTAATTTCCTAGGGATCAAGGGAGCATGTTACCTCCCTTGGGAAGCCTTCAAAAAAAATAACTATGGTCACATTCCTATCGAATGGGTGAGGTCGGCTGGATGGAAAAATATTTTGCTCAAGGTCAGGACCCACAGACCTTGTTTTGCTTGGTCCATAAGTCCTGACCTTGAGCCAAATATTTCCAGTCTGGCCCTTCCACCCAGTTAATAAGTAGAGAGACACCTTTAGTTGAAAGTAAAAATCCAAAGGTAAAAATTTCAGGGTAGTCCCTTCAGGGAGCTTACAAAGCATCTCTATCTATTTTAAAAATAGGTCTCCTATTGATAGCAGAGATGCTTTATAAGCTCCCTGGAACCATGACTTGTTTACAAACTGAAGTGCACGTGCTTGTTGTGACGTGGTGTGACGTTGCAAAATTAATAATGTGCACAGTAAGGACAGGCAGTAACAATGGGCCTGAAGGTCCTAAGGAATAATATCTAGAGTAATGCTAAAGAAATAGAGAATGACCGTAAAGAAATTGCATGCACATATTTTTTTCTAACCTTTTTTAACATGGTGCTGCTGCTTCTAAGCTGAGATGTTAAGAGCTGGATATGAGCTGGAGGCCACAGGAAGGAATAGACTGAAGACTGACTTGTTGTTGACTTTTGATAAAGTTGTGATTTCTTCTTTTGTGAGAAGTGTCTAGACATACATGTAGTTTCTTTCTGTGCTTTCAGAGTAAGATGGCAACTGAAGTGTTTTCTGAAAACAAAATTTTGCAACAAAAAAATTGTTTCAGGGCCATACATGTTTTTCTGGGCCTATCACTTTGACGCATCTGGCCCTCATACAGGACCTTTTTCCTTGTGGTTTTTCAAAGAAAAAACACACTGGGCCGTAGAGGTCATATGATAAAGTTGATTAACATGAAAGCACATTTTAGAGCAGTTATGAATCTCCAGTTGTGTTTTCTCTATTTCTCATGCTGACATTACAGTTTATATGTTTTGTATTGAACAAATTTTGGTTGTCAGTTTCCTCCAGATCTTGAAGCCTCTCCTGCAGATGTGTCTTTTAAAGGTGATTTCTCTGTATTGCATCACACATCCTTACTGCACAGAATATCGTGCACAATTTCTTTGCATGTGCACAGAAACAAAATGGTGTTTTTTTTTTTTGTGAACGGTTTGACTTGCGAGAGAGACAAATGATTGTTTTCTAGCAAACAAGTACTGGGACCTATTGAGTTTTTCATTTAGTTTGAATGTAGTGATTACCTTCTTTCTACACAGTGAATATATCTACAGACTGCTGAGGAGCTGGAGAGAAAATAAGGAGATATATCTATTGCAGAGTAAAAAATTATCACTGAAAATGAGAGCACAGCTAACACTCGTAAAATATAATATGTGGCCTCAAGAACACTACACACTTGGAACGTACTGAATCCCTGTTGACTAAATATGGACGATTTTATCATGAAACGTACATCAAATTTCTCCTACATTTCTGTCGTCATTTCCTTGTATGCTTTACAGTGGAACAAACACGGCCAAACCTTTTTATGTCGAACAGACATATCCTTAATTTGGACACTCAGCTGTACATTTTCTTTGCATTTGCTTGATGACATTTCTTCCATTAACCCATTGATGCCTGTGCTGGCCATAACTGGCGGTGATGAACGTTGGCCTTTTTTCCAGATTGGCATCACTTATACTCAAGTTCTGCATCTTTCTATTTATACCCAGATCAGAATGATTGGGTCAATTTAGCATGAAATATGCATGAAGATCTTTGGAAATTTGAGTGAACTCAACTCTCAAGTACACTTAACTACTTTGTGCCAAGAATTTCCCGTGTCAACGATGCTTTCTCAGCAAATCTTACACCGGAAGTAAGCCCAGTAGAAGGTCAACAACTGCAGCAAAAAGATAAGAAAAGGAAAAAAGGAAAGGTGAAAAAAAAAAAAAAAAAAAAAATGAAATGCTTAAAAACGCAGGTCTTTTTCTCAAAATTTTGATTTGTGCCCATGTCTGAGCAAAAATGTCATAAAACACGATATTAGTGGAAAGAAAGGCATGCCTTTATGTTGGAAATGCATTTTTGAGTGGATTGGAGCTACTTCTGCTCATATCCAGACTGAAATTGTCTAAAAGTGTCCCCAAAAAATACATTTTTGACAAAAAGTTCCAGAAGTCAATGGGTTAATTTGTGCACTTGTTCACGTAGTTGATTTTCTCATTTGAACAATCAATTTTAGCCCGGCCAGTGTGTATCCCCCAGAAAGTAAGTACTTCACCCCTGTACATTGAGAGTGTCATCTACATTGTAAATCGTTAATAATTAAGGCATCATGTTTGAATCCCAGCGTTTTAGTAATGATGTACAATTTGTTCTTGCAGTTTTAGTGGTGATTTCCAACCTGAGGACAGTCTTGATGGACAAGTGAGTGAAGAAGCTTGCTTATTCGTTTTTCATTTTCGTCACTGTTCAGTTTCATCAGCTAATTTTAGACCTTACACAATGAACTTTGTATATGAGGGGCTCAGTCATTAGGCATTTGAGATTTCCTTAGCTGGCTAAACTAATGTAAATTTTGCCATTATAACTGTTATAGGGGTCTTAAATGGATAGTTTAATCGTTTGGCACTTGCAGCCCAACCAATTCCAATCCATTGTTTATATACCAATAACATGCAAGTAGATAACTTGTGCATCCGATCCAGAATAAAATTGTCAATCCAAATAACAAATCTGGTGTTCAATACTTAATTCAAAATTTTCTGTGTAAATCCATTTACATCTTTCGTGAATTGTAGGCATCAGTAATTCTGCCAACTTTCACGTAAATGAATGACTACAAAAAGGCTATCATTCTGCTTGAATCACAAAAATGTAGTCTGTGGTTACTGAAACAAATGTGGTCAATACGAAAACGAAAGTGTGCTTAATGCATGGAGTTGGAAAGTACTAAAGGAGTAATGAGAACTCTCACCTGTATCCTCATGTTTTCACAACTGACTGGGAAATTTTCAAAAGCCAAATTTCTCACAAGAGTCAGCTGCAAGCTTCCAACTGTTTTTTAAAAAATGAAATTGAATGATTAATGTTGTAGCTTGCACATGCACTGAGCTGTGAAACCCTTCCTTTAAAACTGATTGTAGCATTCAGTGTCACTAACCTGAAGTAAATTATGCTTGTTGAGTCCCAAGTCCGGTTTATCAGTGTAGTTCCAGTTCATGGGATGTCTGTTGCTTCTGAATTGAGCTTAACCATTTGTTTGAATTTTTGCATGTTACATTACTGTATGTTGATTTATGTTTTAGTTGTATAGATGTGGTCTGCGACTGGAGGAGATATCAGACCAACTTGGAAACCGTCTAACTCGATCCAGCGGCCCATCCAACCAAGACACTAGAAGAAACAGTTACAGTGAGTTGTTAAACAGGTAATGGCTCTCTGTGTGACACTTATTTCCTTATTACATGTATGTGTGTTAGCCATACACTGTAAGTCCAAAACATCGGTGCCCTGGGGCACCACCTTAATTTTGATCTATGAATTAATGTTCTATTCACAGACCAAGGGATAACCCTCAGGAAGCAGCAGCAGCAGCAGCAGCAGCAACAGCTGCTGAAGACCAGAGGCCTGAAGGAGATCTACAGAACCTAATGCAGGTAATGCAGTCACATTCAAATTACTAGAACCTTAGTATTAAACTAAATAAATTACATTTATGTCATGGTGATGATGAAACTACAGTAGTAAATTTATAAAATGTTCCTTATCCAGTGAATAGTAATTAAGGTTTCAGTCTGATTACAGACTGTTGTACTTACTTAGGTGGAAAGAAAAAAACCTTTTAACTGAGTGTTATTGTTATTATAGTTTTTTTAATCATGAGATGATGATGATGGTGATGATTATAATTATTTTATAGATATTTTTTTGGGGGGGGGGGGGGGGGGAAGGGGGTAGAGAGGGGACAAAGTAGTATAAATTTTCTGATTCATCCATAAATTTAACTTTATCTTTGAATGAGACTGCACTCTACATGTACCAGCATTTCCGTGCGAGGAGTTTTTAAAAAAAAAAACCCCAAAATGATGTTACAATATACTAACTGCTTATTAACCAAGAGTGAGGTCTTTATGGGAAAATCTCAAACTGAAACCTTGCTGTATTGACTGAGCGATAGCGAGGTCAATACGGGAAGGCCAAGGTTTGAGATTTTCCCGTAAAGACCAAACGTTTGAGGTTAATAAGTTGTTTATTATATGGCTTTTTGCTTTGGTTTTTGCAGGCCTGTAATCGGCCCATGGGCATCACAGGAGAATAATGCCCTGCAATCAGAATGTGCGAGCCAATCAGAGCGCACGTTATATCGGCTACAAACACAGGCCATATAATAAATGTTTATAAAATAAATGACCTACAGTACTAAGTGCGCTCTCATGCTAATAGGTGTGTTTACATGAGAGTATGTAAACATGGTTGTGACATTTTAGATTCCCCCGTATTTTTGAGAATTATTTTGTAAAAGCAATAGAGCACTTTTTTCCATGTTTACATAGCCTCATCTAAACACTCTGGGGAGCTGGGAGGATTCTCAAAAGTTACGCATACGTCTCGGGTTTGCATAGTTGTCTC